GGTGGCAGGAGGGGAGAGCAGTGACACCCCGGGAAGAGATGGCCGCTTGCCCCTTGGGAGGACAGCGAGGGCCATTGAAGGAGAGAGCCTGGGCACTTCTTTATCTGCTCTTCCCAGATTTTTCTTGTGGAGGCTGTGAAACCTGAACTGGGGAACCAGAGGCTGAAGAAGCTTGTCATGGGCTCACAGCTGGGACAGGAGAGAGTTCCTGCTACAGGGCATGCTATGGATGGGTGTGAGGGGGCCTGACTCTGCCGCGCAGCTGAGACATCCCCACCGGGAGAGCAGCTCCCACCAACCGGGAGCCCGTGCGCTTCTGGGTGTTCCTTGGCTTTGCCAAAGCCGATCCTGTTGCTGGACAGTCTGCTCTGGTCCAGGCAAGGTGCTGATATGAGAAACTCCAGAAAACTGGGAATTCAGTGCCATCACATGGAAAAGCATCCCAAACTAGGGGCACTGGGAAGTCACGGTTGCTGCGGGCATTTTTGGTGCTGGTTCAGGAAAGATTTGAGTGTTTTCCAGGAACTTCCCAGTGCCACGGAGCCGGTGAGAGGACATGGAGATGTGCCCCATCCATCACCTCACCATCCTCTCCCCACACGTGTTTTGCTGCTTTTGGTGGGGTGGGAGGCAGCGGGCGGCCAGGGCAGAGGGAAGCGCTGCCTGCAGGCAGCCCCCTTGCTCGGCCAGAGGATGTCCAGACACGGTGGTGCTGGTGGCGCTTAGCCCCCACAAGATGGCTGTCCCCCCGCAGCGTCACCCTCGTTAGGCGAAGGTGCCTTTGCAAGCCCTCCCTGGGCGCCAGCATGCCCCTGCCCCCAGGAAGCGCAGCTATAAACGCCTTGTGCCAGCGCGCTGGTCCCAGCGGTGCAGAGGAGATGAGAGGATGTCCCCGGAACGGGGTCAGGCAGGAAGGGAGGCGGCGGAGGCTGGAAATGGAGTGGGGCGCTGGGAGGCAGCAGCTCGGCATGGGGCACAGCCAAGGCATCTCCTGCACCCTTGCCCTGGTGGCACCTGGCCACGGCGTGGGCAGCACCGGACTGGTGCGGCAGGGGGGGGGCCCGGGGGGGGGGAC